TTTTCTTTTTTTTTTTTTTTGCAGTTCATTCTGTACGATATAAAAACTCTTCCAGGCTGGCAGCGCATGAAGGGCATGGACTCGGTGCTACTCGGTTTTCTGGCCATTATTCCTGTTGTTATAATCATAACCTATGTTCTTGGTGTCTATCTGACTCGGCAAGCACTCGGTCCCTGGCGGCGGCGGCAAGACAACCCGCGACGCCGCGACGGAATTGAAGACGAGCGCAGCGCAGCGCAGCCAACAAAACGCCAACTCGCCCCTGCTCCGAGCCATCCCGCGGGCTGGCGGTACTACTTAGTCCGGCGGCGTGTGGCTGCCGCCCGCGGGGCCCGTGGGATGTGCGTCCATGCAGACGGTCAAGAAGACGGCCAGCCCGTCGGCCAGGCTCGTCTCCAGGACACGCGTCCGCTCGGCCTCGGCCTCGGCCGCGCCGGACGGGCCCCGCGGACCCGGGCCCCGCGACGGCGATGCTGGCCTCCCGCCACGCCGACGCCCGGCCGGCGAGGTCGTCGTGCACCCGTGCCCAGCGCGATATGTCCTCCCTCAGCCGCGGGCCCGTCGGCACACCGTCCGCGTACGTGGCGTCCACTGCGCGGCACCACAGGGCCCCCCCTCCTTGCCCGTCACGCTCGGGGTCGCGGTCGCGGCCGCGGCCGTGGCCGTGGCCGTGGCCGTAGTAGATGATTCTGATGCGTAAACTGGGGCGCTGGGCACCGCGCGAGAGGGCGGCGGCGCCACTTACCATGGGGGTGTACACGTGCACCGCGGCCGGCGCGGTGTACACGGCCGCGCAGTAGGCGGCGGGCGGCGCCCACACGACGTGCTGGATGCACGTCGCCGGCTGGACGGCGAAGATGGGCGGCTGGAAGTACAATAGCATTGTGGCTCGTCTTGTGCCTGGTGTCCTGCCCCTTGTAGTGCGTCTGTCTGTCGGGACAGGCGCGGGCGGATGGGTGGTCGACGGGCGAAAATCGTAGCTGGGAAGACGGCTCGACAAGGCGGGCGGAAAGAAAGGGGCACGTCTTCAGAGATGGTCGGGCTGGGAAACTGTTTGTTTGTCCTGTCTTGGGCCAAGACGTCCTTGGCCGTACACCTATATATGTGCCTACATGTGTGTTGGCGCATCACGACTGGGTTGCGCTGATGCAGTGTTTGCTTTCGTCGACACATCATCAGCTACCTACCTCGCATTGCAAACCCACGCGGGCTCATCACCGCCAGGGAAAATGCGGCTTCGCAAGTGTCCTCCACGGCTGGGCCGCCAATCACCGCTGAAGCAAGGCGAATCCATGCCGTACAAAGAGTCGAAATCATGTATTGAATGTCAAAAACGTGAATAAATCCTTGCGCCACTTCCACATGGTGGTATAATAATGCAATGTATCCTCGGATACGCTCCGCTCACGATCCAGATCCCAGATCGACCATCTTAAATCAACACAAAAAAGCCAGTGGCATCAAGCCACATGGCCCCTTGTCACGTCTTTTGTGATCCGCCAGATCATCTATTCATTCGTGAATGCCCCCCACTTTGTACATTTTGTTCGTCATCTGTCGATGCGACATGAAATTGTCGTTGGAGAACAGTTGCTTCTTCCGTACAATGCCAGGATTCCTTCGTAATTGCCTTTGCGTGTTTTCTGAATCCATCTGCATGAGGAGTCTATTGCATTGTATGCTCTGAGGCTCCGGGAGATTGGCGCTGGTCGCTTCAGCATGGATGCAACCGTTGCGTCATCATTGCTAGAGACTCTCCGGGGTTGGATTCTCGTGTTTCGCGGTGCTTCCCTTTCCACGCCAGGTGCTCACGGCAGGAATATTTGCCTCATACCGGACCTCTTCAGTTCCATAAGCTCTTGGGGTCAACTTAATCAGTGTGTGCAGTGGCACATTCATCCACGGGCTCTTTGCTTGGTCCTTCTTCATAAAGTACGCGTAAATGCACCGGAGGACGGCTTGGTGAGTGACGATGAGAATATCCTCACTTCTTTCCAGTTCCATGATGATTGGCTCCAGACGGATGACAACGTCACGGTACGACTCCCCACCGCGGTACCTGTAATTGTACTTGTCTTCGTCGCGCGCGGCAAAATCTTCAGGGTACCGGTCCTTGATTTCTTGATACGTCAGACCGTCACAGACTCCCGAGTCCAACTCATCCAAAGCTTTCCATTGCAGCTGATTGTAGTGAAGCGGGAGGAAACGCGCCGTGGCAATTGTTCGTTTTAGCGTTGATGTCCAGACCGTCAAAGGGCGATCGTCCTTGGAAAACTTGTGAGACTGTGTCACGACCCAACGGCTCGGAGCGGCCATTCATCAAATGCTTACCCCGACAGATTCCCGCACCAGCTCGGGAAGTTTCCGGGCGTATTGCTCGCCTCGCGGTGACAACAAGGTATCCCCACCGATTCTTCCATCTAGGTTGTACATTGATTCGCCGTGCTTTTCGTAGAGACGACAAGAAAAGAAAACAGCGACGCGTTAGTCGGGTTCGGAGTGGGAAATCATGGGGCATGTTCATCATCAGTCAGTCGACGAGAGCCACTTACCCGGGACAGCCAGACAGAACGAGGGCGAATATGTAAATTCATGAGATAGTAGACAATTCTGCTCTGGAGGTAGTCTTGAATGCGGTTGATGATGACCTGCTTTCCGATGTTCATGATTTTGAGGTAGGTGTACTCGTCTTCGTCACCGTCCTGGTCAATGGTCTTGTAAATCTTCTCGTAGTTGCTTATGCGGTTCAGAAAGTCCTGGGCGGCGGCCTCGGGGTCTTGGCCGCGATAGTCTGGACTGGTGGCTTTGACATCACGAATATTTGCCATGATGATTTCCTGGTCGTCGCACTTGCTTTCGACGAAGAGAACTTCAATGCCGTGCTGGGCGCAGACGTCGTTGACCCATTTTCGACGTTCCTTGGTAGAATTGGTGGCATCCAGTATCGCAACAACGCCGCCCGTGCGGAACCAAGCCAGCATGTCGGCCACGGCGGCTTCAGCGGCTGCACGGCGTTTCCGCTCACCCTCCACGTTGTTGGTGTCGAAGAAGTCGGCGGTGGGTTGTGGCGCATCGTTGCGCCGATAGTTGCCGACGTTGAAGGTCTGCGCCGGTATGGACAGCCATTGCAGGTACCGCTGAGCTAGGGCACCGAGTTAGCTGGCACGGTCGATTTGCAACCATGGTTACTCTCTCTGCCTGTTGGTGGCAGGCAAGGCACAGAGGCTGCATCTCGGGGCCAAATTGGCGGTGCACGGGGCGCAGCTGGCTGGGCCTTTGCATGGCTGGGCCTTCGCATGCGGCTGGAGCTCACCTATCTGCGCAATATAGCTTTTGCCCCGGGCTGGCAGTCCAACCATGACGACACATATTTTGGTGTCTTCGACCTGGACGCCGACACCATTGTCAGTTCTGGACGGCATGGTCACTGTGTTTCAATATCAAAAATGGCGCCAGCGCACGACCGAGGTCAACGAGACAATGTTCAGTCATCCGGCTGGGTTGAAAGCCGTCCAGGGCGACGAGACCGGGTCCGATGACGAAAAGAGCAGCCCGGCGGGTTGGACGCGGTCTCGTTGCTGGACTCGGCGAACTGGAAACAAGGAACAAGGCAACAGGGGGGAGGAATTGAGAAAAAAAAGAAGGGCAAAAGAGGACGGGTGAGTGAGGGAGTCGAATGACGCAAGGCTAGGTTCATCGGGACAGTGCCCGTTTTGTAACGAACCAGGTGACGAAGTTTGACGAAGTGAAGACGGGGCACCACCCCAAGATGGTGGGTGATCGCGTGAGGCACTCAAATTTTCGAGGCTGCGCGCGGGGCCGGGTGCGAGCCAGACGTGCGGTCCAGGCAGGAACGACGACTGAACAAAGCAGCGCGGCGCAGCGCAGGCAGCAGGCAGGGAAGGAGCGCCCCGGCGATCGACCGCCCGCACTGGCAGCCGCACTGGCACTGGCAGCCGCACGGTAGCCCATGTGCAATGTGCATGGTGCTCACTTGACCAGGTCCCATCTCGCCCGGCCGGTGGCACTGGCAACCATTGACCCGGTGGCTGCCGCTAGGAGCCGAGGGGCGAGCGCCAAGACCCGGCGCTGGCGGGGAACGTGGGGGATGTGGCATTGATCCGGCAACATGGAGTGCTTCCGGACCATGAGACATGAACAAAGCCATCATCTGTCGAGGGCCCGGACGGACGAATCTAAAGCCCCTCCATGTCGTTGTTCGTCAAGATTTAGCACCATGACGAGGCGCAGATGTGCGCTGCCCCAAACAGAGACCCGTGGTCGGTGTCGTATCCGAACGTCAGAGCGATGCAGAGCGAGGAAGAAGCAGAGCAAGTGAGCGACGCCGACAAATACCAGCCAAACAGGAAAGCCTCAAGGAAACGCCGTCATCTGCCGGACACGCCTCTCGTTCCAAGAGGCCTTTTTGCTGAGAGGGAAAAAAAAATAAAAAATAAAAAAGCCCATCTGGCATCTGGCTCACGCTGCGCTCAACGGCCCACCCAGCCATGAAAACGCCTCGGGCATACACAAAATTGAGACATCTGGAGAAGACGAGGGTAAGAACCGGCCAATCCATCTTCTTCCGCCTCGCTTCCTGCCTCTGGTGACAGACAACAGCACAATGGCCCTCGTACAAGAACAGTCCGCCTCGTTCTCGCCCAGCCCAGGAGAGGTCATCGACCAAGCCGACGAATGTACAGTACGTAGTTGTGGTCTCCCTGGCCGCTTAAAAAAAAAAAAAAAAAAAAAAAAACGCTGGCACACCAAACGTCGTCAAGCACAGCGAGCCGAGCGACATACCGCAGCAACCCTCGCTTCTGTCTTCTCCACTCGTCCTTGTTGTCAGCCCGAGTCGTCCCGGTGCCCCATCATGACCCGAGCTGGAAGGCAAGAAAGGGCACGTGGAACAAACGGCTCCTGCGGAATTCCGGTGGTATAAGATGTCGGTGAAGCCATTCCGATCCCTGGCGTGGAGGACAGAGGACACCTTGGAAATATACCTGCTGTTGAACGCAAGAACCAAACCAGACGCGGATGTTGGTTAGTCTGGTCGCGGAGTCGGACCCTGTAGTAGTCGGTCTCGATCAAGCCGGCCTCCCCCGGTTGGCTGGGGACAGGTTTCCCACTCGGCTGATCCTTGCTGCAGGGACTAGGCGAGGCGACCAACACCATCAATGCATCAGATCTGGGCTCCGGGACTGTCCGACCAGTTGTAGCCGTCGTACAATTTGGTCTCTGCGCCCGGGATTGAGGCTTGATCCTGACGGACGGACGGACGGACGGACGGTCGGCACCGTTCGCTTGCCAACCCGAGCCTCTCGATTTTGAGCACAGGATGCCGCTGCAGTCGGGAGTGGCCAGCACGTTGACCGCGAGTGAGTGCTCGGTAAATAGACTCGACAACTTTGCTCACCGCTCATGGAGCTATGCGGCAAGTGACGACCATCATGATGAAGCCAGGCAGTAGCGGCGACTCGTCCGTACTCTCTCTCTCTCTCTCTCTCTCTCTCTCACTCGAGAATGCCTCGACACTGGTGGTCCACGAACGCGCAGGTATCGACATGGACGGCATGGCATGCTGTGGAATGGCTCTCGTCGCGGCAAGGAACGGCTTGACATGACGGAAAGGAAATTGACCCCGAATTCGAGCGCGGCCACCCCCTCACTCACTTTGCTAAAGTTCCACGTGTTGGCACGAGCCCGGCCAGCGGGTGAAGCCTTTGGCGTTGGCGGTCCGGCGGCAACACCCCTCATGGCTGCGATTTCAGACGTCGCTGAGCAGAGCAGAGAGGGTTGACGAGCTCACGCTGTCGACAAGCGCTGGTTGAGGACAAAGGACAGTTGCGACTGGAACCGCCGTGTGCGCAGGCGTAGAGTGATGAAGATGCTCGGCCGAGCCTGGGCACGGTTTGTATTTGATGATGGTCAACAATGAACATCTCCCAGGTCGGGCCTTTTTCCTCGATGCGTTCTGGGCCCTGGCACAGGTAGGTTTGTCGGTGGAGCTTTGGCTCCTCAGGGGTCAGGACGGGTCAGGACGGGTCAGGACTCGGGACTCGGGACTTATTAGGACGTGGAGCGGGCCGCAGCAGTGCCATCTAGCCGGAGCTTGTCTCTTCATACAGGCACCTGCTGCCTTGCCAATTGAGAAAAACAATCTTCATCGCTGGAAACTTTTTTCCTTGAGAAAAACCCGTCGATAGATTTCTCCTCCTGCGAATCCTCTACCTCTAATACTCTTCTTGGTCATCTCGCACCTCCAATGGGCGAAAATGCGCCTTTACGTTCTCTAAAGAAACGAACAGGTGTGAGATATTGCATCAATACACACACCATACTCCCCGACTGCATCATGACACTGTCAGCCCCAAATCATTCCCATGCAAGGCCAAGTCAGGTGTCGACATTAATTCCTGCCGTAGAACCGCATCTGTGCTCCTCCAACATCGAATACAGCTACAACATTTTGCAGAAACACGTCACCCAGGATGTATGGCCCTGACCCACCACTTGTGATAGCAATGGCACAGTAGCCCGTCATGGGATCAACCAGTTCGCGGTAGATCATGTCCGCAGGGTTGAGCCAGAACTCAACCCCCGATATGACAACGGCAAAGCTCGGAGGTATCGCATCACACGGGGCAAAGTAAGAACCCCATTGATACAAGTACACCGCACGAGGCTGGAAAGCATTGGCGACTGCCTCGGCCAAGGCTATTCATTACCTGTCAGTATTTGTAGCCATGTCTTCCTTTTTTCCGACATCTTGTATCAAGGCCGTGCACTCACGAGGTGGGAGATAGTTCATTGTCGTCCCCGTATCCACGATGTATGGAAATTTGGTTTTATCCATTCGTTGACCCCAGACGATGCCATCGGGGATAATGGTGTAGAAGGAGTATCTCCAGGATGTTTCGGCTGACCCGATGAGATTTGCCTAATATTATATCTTGTCAACACAGCTCTTTAGGTGAGCTTTCACGACAACAACAGTCATCGTCTGCACATCTCTGGACTGGCGCCAGCACTTACTATGATGAGGTCAGTCTCAGCGTACACGTCAGTCCTTGTCTGCATCTCTGGTAAGCCACCCCAGGCGATAATTCCACCCGAAGAGTTCTTGGCCAGTGCAACACTGAAAACGGGATCTATGTTTCCTTGCATGACGGCATTCGTTAGGAAAGGTACGTATTGGATGGCGTTCCAGGCAGCCTCCTGTCCAATCTCCCCATAAAAGGCACTTGTAATGGATGGGTAAGCAAGGCCCAAGATGCCGACTGTAAGGTTATTACCGTGCCAATAGGTATAGTTGGCGAGCCCGGCTTGTTGACTTGGAACAGAAACACCTCCACATGAGATGTCAGCGTAGCCCATGGGGCCAAAAACTTTCTCGCCCGAGCCGTATTTTAAGTAGAAGTGAAGGCCATCAATGGGGCCATTTTGAAATTTCTTGACATGGGGATTTCCAAAAGCACAAGCAGCTTGACTATGCTTTCTACCATCAGAGCCATGGCATTCAAAACCCCTTTGAACGGCCCAGGTGTCCGCGCTTTCTGTATCTAGAAGCAGCCAGACTGGGGCGCCGTCCCATCCACATTGAATGGCGTATTGAGTCGAGAAGTTTCCGGTAGTGCTGATGTTTTGGTATGTGTGCTGGCCGTGTGAAGGGGGCGTCCGCAACATTTGCACAAGGCTCGAAACGGCGTTGTGATTGTTTGACTGGCCCTTGATGTTGACAAGTCTGGAATACAGCAGAGTCGGTTTATCAATTGTCTGGGAAGACATGGCTTTGGCCCGCTGGAAGACAAAGCCATTCAACGGTTTAGACAAGTCCCATTCCGGGGTGCTTGATGCCTGTACTGGCGTATTCGGAGCTGCCAGGGCAAGCGTCGCCCCGGCAATAAAAAGACAGAATTGGGCTGGCACCATGATGGCGACTGGCTGTCTCGATGGGCCAGTTAGAGTATCTTTGTGAAAGTAAGAGCGGAGGCACTTTCTTGTTCAGCGGACAAGATAGCGACCAAAGAAGTCAACAAATATCTGGACGGAGATGCAGAAGACTTAAGTACAAGTTTAGAAGACCTCGGCCCGATGACGGGTACGACTGGGAGAGGAAGAAGGATGAGAAGGGATCAAGGACAGCTGAGAATTATCAGACAAGGCTTTGCTATGAAGATGCAGGTGGTCGACGAGCGTACGGCCGACCGAGACCGAAGGCATCAAGTCGGAACATCAAAACACCCGGCATTTGGGAGTCGGCAGTCGGGTCACGGCAGTCAGTACATCCTAGCCTCTGGTTTGCGCCTTCCGTTTCCAGCTGCACCCAAGAACGAGTTCGAAACAGTTTGCTGAACGAGAAGATACGGTCCTGGGCAGCATCTAACTACCTCCCCTGAATTATGGCACGACTTCTTTTGGGTCCAAACCTGTAGTCAAGGTCTATCTGGGTTTGGTATTCCTGCTCCTCCTACCAAGGCTGGATTCTTCCGTTACGCGAATCCCCCCGGCTGACACACATATCTTCACCTGTATGCGCAGTGTCTCGAACCATGTCGGGAATTAAGCGAGGGACAGTTCCGTGGAACTGTCATGCCCTTCGATATACCCGTACTCAAATACCCGATGATGGTCTCATAAACGTAACGCGGAAACAGCCATGATTGCTGGGAGGCTGCCTTCTCATGGAAAATAAGTTGATCGCCTGGCCCGATGGTAACTGCAGTACATGCAGCGCAAACCCGGACCAAACGTGCCAAGCTTGAGGTAATTCTTTATAAGATGATGCCTTGATCCAGATAAGCACAAGAGCGTCGGGAGACCGACCGTGCGCGTTACATGACATCTAACGTCCCATCTACGGAGCACCCAGTTTGATAACTTGATGCCAACACTGCTCGGTAGACAAGCCAAGGTGTCACGTAACGCAGCGGCTCGGCCTGCATGCATATCCATGCGGCGGCATGAAGACCGGTTTTACCGTCTTACGAGATGTCGGTAAACAAAACGACGGTCTCGGCTCTGTATCATCATCTGAGATGTTAGGGGCGACAAGCGTTTGTCGGGCAAAGCGGCACGGATGTAACGTCGAGACTTGTCCCAACGACGAATTGCCATTCCCAACAACTGCGCAGCAACACGACAACAAATGGCATACAGACTAGCCCGAGCTTCTTATTTTGTCCTTCAACCTCATGGAGAGTTTTGTCCAGTGTCCAGCCGTGTCTGCGCATGTGATTCTAGTCACTGGGATCCGGGCCAGCCTTTGAATATCAACATGGGAGTAGCGACGCCAAACAATTGCACAGGGCGTTTATCAACCACCATGCGACTACCTGGGTAGTTGTCAAGTAGTGGATACGTGAAAGTGGCTCTGCTCTTGAAGACGCTGCGCACCAGACGGCGTCCAAAGTCGTGTACCGACTCGAGCACCGAGTACCGAGCACCGACCGAGCAGCTCGAACGGCGCCGCGGGGAAACGCTGCTGCCCCGACTGGAGAGATCTCTCGAAATCGACATGGAGCTTGATCAGACTATGTTTGAGCTCTGGCCCACTGAGGTTCCAGAATGTCATCATATCCCGACGCCTCGGTTGGCACGTGGGAATCGGGATAGATCAAGATAGCCATAGACAAACTTGATCCATGACTCGACCACTTCCCTTTCTTCTCGCGCGTTCACTATCAAGGAATGACAAACTCAACCTGGCTACGGAGTACCCTTCCTCTTACTATTTTCCTCCAGTGATAGTAATAAGTTGGATAGCCTTCCCCACCAGCCGCAACCTTGAACACGGCTGAACGCCCGGCGTCATCCAAAGACCGCCATTCACCATGCACGCACAGCACCCCCAGGGAGCCATCTAGATGCACAAACAAAAGCAACAGCCGACGACAATGTCTTCGAAACCAAAAGCCAGCACTCCCCCCAAGGCCGCCGACAAACAAGCCCTATCATGGATGCGGACGCTCAGCCCAGCCGTCTCCTACTACGACCCTCACCCAGCATCGCCAACCCACGCAAACGAGCCTCACCTCATCCTCATCCTGTCCTGGATGGGCGCACGACCAGTCCACATATCGAAATACGCACTCCAATACCGCAAGACCTACCCGTCATCACGGATCCTCATCGCGCAATGCCCCATCACCCACATCGTGTTCCCGTGGCGCACGCGCGCCGAGCTGTCCCCAGCGCTGCCCTACCTCCGCGACCTCTCGGAGCGCCAACAGAAAGCCGACGACGCGGGCGACACGTCGCCAAGGCTGCTCATCCAGATCTTCTCAAACGGCGGCATCCACACAGCAAGCTACCTGCGCCGCATGCTCCGCGGCGCCCAACCCCACGGCACGCCAGTCCTGCCGCGATACGTGCTCGTCTTCGACTCCTGCCCGGGCTACTTCCGCTGGATGAGCTCCTACAACGCCCTGATGCAAATGCTCCCCCGGTGGTCCGGTCCCGTCGTCCACACGGCCATCGCCCTGGTCTGCCTGTACCACTTCCTGCGCCGGCTGCCGGCGATTCAGAACCGCAACGCCCGCGCCCTCCGGTCCCCGGGGCTGCTGGCGCGAGAGGCATCGCGCACGTATCTGTACGGCACCGCGGACGCCCTGATCCTGTGGCAGGACGTCGAGGACAATGCCCGCAAAGCCAGCGAGGCCGGCTTCGCCACCCGGCTGGAAAAGTTCGTCGGCGCCAAGCACGTCGACCTCATGAGGGCAGACCCGGAGCGCTACTGGAAAGCCATCCAAACCTCGTGGATGGGCGAGCCGGAGCCGCGGGTGGGTGCCCCAGCATCCGCGGCCGAGCATTAGACAGCAGCCCATGCATAGCGGCTGCCAATCTATCGCTCGACCGCTTCGTCGGATATCTTGGTCAGGGGGTGCTGACGACGACGGCGCCCATGATGCCGAGGTCAACAGGCATCGATACCCACGGCGCGTTTCAACGTACCCGACCGGGTGCGTCGTGGTCCGAGAACAGACACGAGTCGACGGCTCCCAGTGGTGCGAGCAGTGTACATGCACGACGAGTACATGTATATATATACCTCATGTTTGCATGGTTGAAACTAGACTGGACTCCGTACCAGCCGCTTATAGACAATGACCAGCATTTCTCTTCTGAATAGGGACTTGAGAGGTAGATGAATACCCCATGCCATGCCGCTCTCGCTTCTTCCAACCGTCGTCATGTGATATAATAAATTCCCCGACAAACAAAGTAGCTTTGCTTTATTCCTCCACGGCGCGCGTGCGCCCACACACAGAGAGACAATTAATTATTCACAAGGAGCCCCTTGACTAATAAACGCCAACGCCGGTGAATAATTTTCCACTTGGGTGACCTCCAACTCCGTCGCCATGCCCGAGTAAGCCATCTCGACCAAATGATTGCTAGCAAAAAAGTCCTGTGCTATTGTCCAAGCGTAAATGGTGGATGCTCTGTTCCAGAATATACATTGCATGAATTAGAAAAGAAAGAAAGATAATGTACGCCAAAACAAAATAAGTAGAATAAATGAAGAAAAGAAAACAAGCGTAGATACGTGGCCACGTAAGTTCGTAAGGGTGCATTCACAATTTGTCCACGGTGAGATTCAGCCAGCTAGATTGCCCTGGGTCCGGCTTCCGAATTTCCACCATGTCCAAGAGAAGGAGTCCGACTCGCGACAATGATCAGAACTGGACTTCAAACCTTTTGCTTCTTGCGATGACTTCTGGCGTCAGTTTCGGCGACCCGTTTCTCGGGGGCTATGAAGGCGTCGTCGCTGATGTCGCCGATGCCTTCGTCCTCTTCGGTACATCGATCACATTCCTGATCAAACGGGTGTTGCTCCGCATAGATACCTGCATCACACTGGCCAAAGCACCCCGCGTTTTTGGCTTGCAAACAGGCTAGTTGCTGGCCTAGATCATCCCACGTCTGGGACTCGCCGCACCTGGTACAGCTGCCTGCAAAGACCAAAAGACGACACATCATCAGTCGAGTAGAGGATGAGTGAGAAACGCCCGTGAAGTGCCAAGTTTATGAGACTTCTTGGCCGAGGGGCTGATAAGAGGGGTTTGGGTGATCAGTCTGCGGTGAGCTGTGGCGTTGCTCACGGCCGAGTCGTGCCTCGTCCACGAGGCTCGGTTCGACAACCAGACGTATGGTATGTCTGTGCGTGAATGGTAATTACGGCCCGGGTCCTAGAGGCACTGCTTTGGTCGTTGACAGAGTGCGTGACTAGGGATACAGGAAGGTCAGGGCCAAAGGTGGAGGATACCAAAATGGCAAGCAATCTGTATGACAAACACTCGTGTTAGCAAGCTGTCAGCTGTTCTGGTGTTGGCCGGGACTGGAAGCACTGGGGGAATGCGTCGGCCGTGCGGCGAGAATATGAGCCGTTATATGCGACGGCAAAAAAAAATTAACTGGTACGTGCCAACTTTGGTGAACAATGAAGCGGCAGAGCCCCCTTGCCTTGAACGACTGAGACGCATGTGCGGAATGCTTGCATTTGTGTCGCACAGAAATGGCCAAGATAGTTCGATGGGGACGCGTAGGATGTGCTCATGATGCAAACTGGGATCCACATGACTTACGCTCGCAGCTGACGCAATAGAACCGTTGGCTGTCCTGGCACTGGGCGCAATGGCTCGTAGGTTCGACGAGGTGAGCTTCGTGATGGGTGACGGTTCTCTGACGGGGTCCTGTCCTCGTTGGGCCTGGCCCGGTCGTCCAGTCCGTCGTCTGCGAATTGGCTGATGGGACGAAGCCGGATCCAAGTACAGATTTGTCTGGTCTGCTCGTGCGGTGCTCTCTGGATGGCGGAGCGTTTCAAGTTGGGAGTTGCCCGTGCTAGCAACAGCCACGAAGGATAATTGATAGCCGAGCATGAAAACGCAGAGGGCGACAATGAGGAGCGCTCAGGTGATGACAAATGGCAGGGACCCAAGAGCAGAGGGCTCCCCATACGTTTCGCCGGCTCGAGTCGCACCGGAGGGACTGCCGGACTGCAAGCAAGTGCGGACTTGGGAGTTTTCGAGGTGCTGGCCGTTCTCGCCGCCGAAGCCCTCGTGCGACTCGGGAGCTGTCCTCGGCCGGGTGGTCTGGGGCTCAGGGCCTTTGAAAATGCGAATGTGCACCGGGGTTGGGACGAATGAGACTCTGGGGTCAGGGGGTACTCGGGTCTTTGGTGCTGGTGTTGGTGATGTTGGTGATGATGTTGTTGATGTTGTTGAGGTCGTGGTGGCGGACTCGAGGACATGGAAATAGCAGCAGGATGGAAGCAAGCAGATTGTCGCTCAAGAGTCAAGACTCTGCAGATACATGATACCAAGTTGATGGCGGTATGGCTTCGCCACTAGACGGCCGAGGAACCGAACCGGTGCAATACGAGTATTCGACAAGTCGACGTCTGAAATACTAAAGGTACCAAGGGCGGGAGCGACACACCATGATGGGGGGAATGGCGGTGCCGGTACCTGGCCAATACCGGGGGGAAGCAAGCGCCTGCGTCTTGTACAACTGGATTGGCTCAAAGCAATCTGCGGGTCATGGCCGCGACGTTAGAGGACAGGGGGGGGGGGGTGTGTGGCAGGTCAGTCAGTGGCAGCCAAGGAGGGGAGAATGGCAACCGAAAGGCTGAGTGAGTGCCAAGTGAACGGCTGTCTGGCGCACACGGCTCCGTACTCCTGCCAACTAGCAACTACTTAAGTAGGCAAGTCCAGTCAACCGCCGTGCAAGATTCAACAGTCATGTGGCAAGGGGATGGGCGGCGTGCGTTGAGAGCGCAACGTAGCAGACTTCAATAGGAGTACTCTCCGTAGGTGCCTTATTTGTTTGCTCTTCCAAATGGAGATATGACAGGGACCGCTGACAGACGCGAGAGCACAGACTCGCATCTGATCCCAATTGCGCTTGGAACCCGTGGAATACTGGCCATCCGACAGCTGACGTGAGGCACCTTCTCAGGGCAGCATACTGGAGCACCTACGGAGAGAGTACCTATAAGTTCTTGAGTACCAAGAAGTAAGTACCTAAGTACTTGAAGTGAGTACGAAGTGCTCCGTACTGAAGTAGGTTATTACCTGCCTTGCTACCTAAGTACTCGGGTTCTCAAGTACTTGATAGGGCAGGCAGGGACTTGATGGGTACTTAAAGTACCCAGGTAGGCACCGCAATCAGGCCAGGCCTTCCAATGACATCGCCCAGCCCGAACCCCTCAGGATCACGATGAGGAAGGCACAAGGCCGCACAACAAAACGGAAAACCACTCATCTATCACATTCTTCCTGTGTCTCGATGAACGAAGCGGGTCAACGGCCTGTGTAGGTCGCTCACCCGCATCTGAAATACCTCGGCCCTGGCCTCGACCTCGACCTCGACCTCGACCATCACCGTCAAGTCAAACGCTTGGAACAGAAAATGCTTCGAGTGCCGTGCCATGTGAGCCCCCTCGCAAACCGCCCGCTTTGCCCGCTCTGGCATCGAGCCCTTCTCTCTCGTCTCCATTTCAGGGGTCCACCCTGCTCGCTTTCTTGCCTGCGTGCCCTCAACCCAGTCTCAATCGACGGCACGATAGGGAGTCAAAGCAGCCAGCTGCGGGTGTCGAGAGGCCATAGACGATCAATTCCCGCTCCCAAGGCAACCTAGCCGCCCAGCAATCCAGCCATGACACGATTTTAAATATGTGGAGCGACACCAACCAAGGCTCTGTAGGGCTCCGTAAGCCTCTTTCCGCCATGATGTCTTACACCAGAACTGGACTTGGCCCCCGCCGGCACCTCGAGGCATAACGAAGCAAACGAACCATGTACGATTCGGAGTACGGCGTCCGGAGTACATGCTCACGGGATGATACGCAGCAACGTTGGCCTGATAGCATATTGGCACAGCAGCTAGCTGACCAGGCAAGGTGGTGGTGGTCATCCTCGCATCATGTACCCGGTTGACTGCTCCAAGTTCATGCATGGGAAGAATGGGGAGAAAACCACTGGCGAAAGCAGCCTCCAGCTCCTCCCCCCCAGTTGCATCATATTGTCATCCATCACCAACACCATCATCAACATGCGGTGATTGGTTCTGGGCACAAAGTATATTGAAGCAGAGTCGGACATGCAATGCGCCAAGTGACCTCGGATGCGAGGAACGCGGAATCGAGCCGCTGGGCGAGGCGATTTGTCCAAAGGCTAGCTAGCTGTTCACTCACAGGAAGAACATAAGCGTCATTTCTCAGCTACATGCCGTGGCCTGCTACACCTCGAGCGCCATATCTTGCGATTTGTGTGCTGCTATATCGCACTTGCATTGGATGTGAGATGGAAATGAGATCCATTGGTGGCAATGGATTCTATAAGCCCCGGCTTTATCTCAGCCCTGACAGCAATTCAATGTTGAGAGGAATGGTCAACATCCGGCGGGCCAACGCATTACTCCCTTCTGCACCAGAATTTGCCTACGACAGCCTAGACCCTCAGCGGCTTAGATGTTGAATCGGCTGTTGCCACCCGCCATCCCCGGGGAGAGCCGGTCTGGCTATATGTCTCACCTGCTTGGCCCGTGAGCGAGGGAACTCTGAGTAGAAAACGGTTGGGCCGTTGCACATCAACGGACACTGGCGAGGATCGGCAATACGTTCCGAGCGCCATAAGAGGTGGCCTCACAATGGTGGTAACTAGGTTATCTGGTTCTCCCTACGGAGTACTCCGTACGGAGCTCAGCAAACGCCAAGCCGGCCGGGATCTAGCACAAGTTGGACAACCGTGCAAGACAAAAGTCAAGACATGCAAACACGCAAGCATGCACGCAAACGCACACACGCACACACGCACACACTGTTTCAGCAAAACTTCGTTTTCGCAATCGAGTCTCTGCACCAGCAGTGACACAGCAACTTCGCGCCAAGCAGCCTGCACTCGTTTCCATGGATATATACATGCTGTAGGGTCTGTTATCCCGCTCCAACGCCTCCGTTGCAAATGCCTGCCTGCCTGCCTGCCTGTGGTTACCTTGGTAGCTGAACTTGCCCGCATGCCTACCACCTACCTAGGGGTACAGGACATGCATCAGGCGTCTGCACAAACAGGGGCTCAAGACTCGATGCGCAGCGCCATACGATTGCGGTTGTGCTGGCAGCTTGCCCTGCATTGTGTCTGTTGGTTTTGTGAATACAGACAGACTTAGGCTTGTCGGTTCTGCAGTCAAAACTCCCATGTTGGCCACGGAGTAGTCATGCTATTTGCCGACTTGCGAGCAGCCAAGCCAATACCAGCCGTATCCACTGTTCTTCGACGTCCTCACTCCTCGATAGTGCCATGGTGCCCGTTCCACTCAACAGCCCCGATTGTGAGAGCTCTGGGAGCTCGTCCCAAGGTTCGCGCTGGCAGCCGGCTCCTCCTCGTTGCTTCCCCGGAGCTGGCAGGTTCATCCAGGCTACTTGTCCGGCCCGCTCAACCAACAAGCGCCATGCCTCAGCCAGCGACTATTTGGGGAGAACGCCGGCGGAGATGCTGCGCCTATTTGCAAGCTCGGCATTGACACTCAGAAACTAGCGCATCCGGTCGATCGCATCATCTTTGTCCTCTGTCGACGAATTTTCACCTCGAACACGCACGAGCCAACGTAAATATAGTGGTGTCCCATTCACAATTGCCCATTACTCTGTAAACTGTGGCCGAGGCAGGTCGCTGTTCGCGGCGAGGCCATGTTTACCACCTCACCGGCGACAAAGGGGGGGCCACAGATTGCACACCCAGCCGCCGAGATAGCTTGCTAGCGAAGCGAATCCATCATCATCTGGGTTAGTGCTTCATTCCGGCGGGTTTCACAGCTTACAGTGTGGAAGTGACATGCGACGCAGCCAAAACCACGACAACGTGCCGTGATATGGTCACTGTTTTGCCATGTGCCCAACCAGCTTGGGTGCTGAAAGCGAGGCAGCAAACCTCGACATACCCATATAGCTGCTATCTTGGGTTGATTCCCAAGAATCAAATGAGTGTCATTTGTTTGTGTGCCTCGTGGTAGAGGCGCATGTCTGTGCTGTCTTCACGTCGTACAAAGCAGTACGCCGAGTACTATACTTGTCTCTGGCCACTAAAGGGCCACGACGGACTGTCAGATGCCGGCAGAAAACGTGATACGGGATCATGCATATGCAGCAGGTCATAGCGCTCAGAAATCTTCTGCAGGACTGAAGATTTGAAGAAGGCATGTTCGTCCTCAAACGCCGAACTAGACAACTACGGGTCAACCATTTCGAGGCGGGTTTTGCACTGACAGGATAGCAACCCACGGCTCACAAGTGTGGACTCGATATTCCTTGCGTGCGGAGCACTTACGAGCATGTCCTCGCTTCTTGGTGTGGCGCTTCGACCTGTCCGCGCTGGCGTGTGAGTGCGGAAACTTGCGACGCTCAGGCGGCCCAGCGGTCTAGAGATCTCCTAGAGGCCCGCGATCGATTTTCATAAGACGAGGGCGCGTCGAGGACGCTGGAAGGCAAGGCCTGGTCCCGAAGAGTTTGTGTTCTGAATAACCTGGGCCGAATAGGTGGCCGCAATTCAAGGCACTCGAATCACCATCCTATCCAAGACCATTTGTCGGTAAGTGAATTCTCCTTGAGAATTGACAAGGCGAAGATCTTTGAAGCCAAGGTCACCACTGTCATACCAGACAAAACAAACCGACTCTGCAGGTTGACATGGGACGAGAGAGCAACGTGGAGAGCAAAAGGCGGCATTTGGAGAAATACGGATCATCTTTCCCATTTGCTGTTGCAGGACAAACCAGGTGCGACATTGCTGCCGAAAATAACTACTGCGTCTAGTGTCTTTAATCACGACTCGTCCATTCAAACTTTTCACGTCCAGTTTGCCTCGCCAGTCCAGTAACAACATGCAACATTTACTGTCACGACGCCAAACATGTCGCATGTCATGTCCGCAGTGTTTACGGCCAGGCATAGAAACTCACACAACTACGGAGTACGAACTGGCCAAACAGAAGCAAACGCATCACTGGACAGTGAGACAAGAGATTGGTCAATGGTCTCACAAGAACATGCTACAAAGTACGTGAGTGAGACGGTTGCGTGCCCATTTGTGGTCCGACGACTGACTGACTGCCGACTGCATTGGCACAGGTGTGTCCAAGTACGGAGGACATTTCACTCTTCACTGTTCACTGCACTGCATTGCACTTATTGCGCCCAATTAGAGAGGAGACCGGCTCGCCATGACCTGAGCAAGAGCATACGGACTGTCATCTCGCACATTGCATTGCTTGCTTCTGGGGCCACGCAAGAGGATACAGACACAGCGCCGAGCGGCTACCATGCGCAAATTCGCTGCGTGTGTGACCAACCTGGGGAGGCTGCATAAAATCCACGACGAAACCTGTCTGTCTATTCGCCTCTTCCACGCCTGCAGAAGCGCAGGGATAGGACTCGTGCCCAGAGAGCAAACGCAACTCGACACCGTTTTCACCAGATTCTGTACCGAGTTGAGTTGTGACTGCGCTAGGTGGGGGAGGGATCCTTTCGTCTTGCGTCTCGACTCTTGACGAGGCTCACCTGAAGGCGTCGCAAGCTGCTTCTGAGCCCCAACTCAGCTCCGGGGAACGAGGCTGATGTGTGCTCACCACCACGACACCGTCTATACGAGTCGACGCTACGCGCTGGTGCAAAGGATCCATCATAGAGAAGTCGTCGCATGTGGTTGGGGTCGTTTGTAAATCCTGCGCATTCAAGAGCCGGCTCGGTGCAATTCACAGAAGCACAAACCACACGGAAATGCCCGCGAACCCCGTATAGAATACCAGTATTGGATTCGTTCACCGAGAGACAAGGAGAAAAAAAAAGACTACGACTACTATACATTCCCAAGTCCCCCCCCCCCCCCCCCCCAAACTCCAAGCTGAACCTCGTGACCACCAAAATCAAAGACCATTTACTGCATAGTTGAACGACTTGCCGAGTCGGTCCCCTTTTCATCTCGAGAGGCACCAAATTATGGGTAGATAGCCATAGAATTCGGTTTCAACACGATCAATAACTAGAAGCACAATACAACGTCCGTGGCCGGTTTTTTTTTTTTTTTTTTTTTTTCGCAAAAAACCAATGCAATGGGAATGCACATGATAAAATTGGAAGGGTAGATGATCAAAAGCAGGCCCAGGGGAGGCGAAGGGGGAGAGGAGGGGATTATCCAAATCTCACAGACACTCATCACCATCCGCCAAGCTGGTACGGTGTGCCTCGGATTCAGGGACGGCATTCGCAGACACCCTAGCTGGCCGTGCAAGGGTATAAGTCATCAGACAATTGTAGAATGCAAACCTTGGGAGAAGAGCAGAGGATTCTTGCTTCCTTGGACGCGTTGCCTTGGTACGGTGGAACTTCGCCCATACACTGTGCGTGGTTGGTACCTTTGTCAAGACTCAAGATGCATGTCAGAGCCCGCTCGGCATAGGTCATCGGGGTCCATGAGGCTGGCTTGTTTTCTTTTCCCCGCCGCGCCCAACTCACGTTTCGTCAAATGCCAGGCCGAGAGTACCAGTGGAGGATATACAAGGTGCATCGCATGAACGCTCGTGTCAAACCCGGCTCCGTCTGGTGGTGACGCATAACAATATATCAGTTCAGTTGCTCAGCCAGCACAAATGCATGTTCGTAAGAGTGGCGACTTGCACAAACAAGGTCTAGGGGCTGAAAGCAGACGTGTCACCATGGCGGGTGTTTTGTTTTGGCTTCGCCTGCTTTCCCGTCAACTGTCCCACGGCAACGGTGGATGGAGACGGCGAGCAGAAAGCAACGACGAACAAAGCGAGACACGACTATTAGTTGCAGACTTGCAGTGGTTTTTGCTTTTTCTTCTCTCTTTTTCCCATCAAAGCAGAGGGCATAGCCAAGGGGCAACGTTAAGAAATTATATGGTCAACGAATGCAGAAGCGGGTCCGGCGTCAGGGAAAGGGGCATCCTGTGATGCATCTGTGAGGGGCGAGTGCAAGAAGTGGGCAACGTCAGATCAGAATAGGCTGTACATGCGTTCAAGCTCAGGGTTCATGAAGCGTCAAGCGTGCGTCCAGGCAATGAGTTGATGTCAGAATCAGGTCAAGGCATCTCAGATAGCCCTCGGGCTGCGGCCGTGGCCACGGTCCAAGCTCAATCATGTTCACCAAGGCTAGACGGGCAAAGAGTCGACATTATAAGAATGGGAGGGTATCATCACTTTAAGAGCGGGGAGCTGGGGCACCAGCGGGGGACCCGTCGCCATTTTGCTGTTGTTGTTGATACATCAGGGACTGGTACCACAGGGCAACGTAATTCTGGTATCCGCCATCTGTCATTGTCGTGTCAGATCTGCGCCGCTCAAGGACATGTCGAGTGGAGGAATCGTTGGGGATCGGGCTTACATTGGGCGTACGGGTCTGACGCGTCTCCGGAAGAGGCTGGTGGTGGGTTAGCAGACGACGTTTCAGGGCCTTGCGAATACGAAGGCCGGTCAAGATCTTGGTGTCCACGGCCGCGCGGAGGACCGCCGCTTCCGCTCTTTTGTCTCTGTAAGCACACATCAGCCAAGTGCTGGCTGGGATTGAAAACCACCGACTGGGGCTGTAGAGTTGCTTCACGTACCACGGCATCAACCTTCTCTTCGATGGCAAGTTTGGCACGAGCGATACTATCCCGAGTACCAATGAGGGCAATCTCTCTCTGAGTCTCGCCCGGCCCAGAGGACTGGGCCACGTTGATCTTGCATCCGGTGGAATTCTGCATCTCCCGGATCGTCTCACCGCCCTTGCCGATAATCATACCAACGGCATCGGACGGAACATGGACGGAATCGTTGACCTTGTCCGACCCAGCACTGCCACCAACATCCCTGGGTGGTGGTTCAGAACGAGGGACAGCGACAGCAGTGGCCTTCTTTGCAGCAGGACCATCACCTCTAGTGTCGCTGTCCACGATCTCCATGATGAAATCTTTGGCACGAGCGGCAGCCTCCACCGTGCCGATGAGGTTGACAGGGCGCAATCCGTTCACGCTCTTCGACTCTCCTACGATGTTGATGTGGCAACCGGACCTTTCTTGAAGATCGCGAATGGTCTCGCCTCCACGGCCAATGATCAAACCGACGGTCCGATCAGGGACCATAATTTGCATGTGGTCTTCACCATCTCGCAGCGCGGCCGCGCCACCCTTGGGGTCACGATTCTTATCCTGGGCGGGCCGGTTCAAGGCACCCATGCCACTGTCCTCTATGATTCGGTTGATGGCATCCTTGACTTCAGCACGACGCGGTCGTGGACCCGAAATTCTGCACTGGCGGAAGGGGCCGCCATCAGTTGCAGCAAGGAACTGCACGCGGCAATTTGTATCCGCCTCGATACGACGCAAGTTTTCGCCTTGTCGACCAATGATCAAGCCCACAAGGCTGGACTCGATTTGGATCGTCTCTGAATTGTCATCTCCTCCGCGCAGCGGCGATCTGTCCCGTCCCCCGCCCCCACCTCCACGAGGCGAGAAGCGACCTCTAGGAGGCGGCGAGTAGGAGCGATCTCGGCCATAATCGCGGCCAACGCCGCCCCGACGGTCATCTCTGTGCTCTCCACGAGGGGATCGGGACCTCGAACGTCGATAATTACGGTCGTTGCTACGAGACTCCGTGCCGTAGACGAGTGGTCGATCGTAAGACGTGGCGCCATTGTCGGCAGCGTATGCCCGTGCCTTGGATACGACGTCATCGAAATTCACGGTGCCCGAGGTGACTGGACGGATGGCGCTCAGATCAACGTTGCCGCTGGATGCTGGGGCTGGGAGTCCATGGCCAGGCGGACCACCGGAGGCAGGGGCGCCGCCTGAAGGAGAAGCTTGATAGTGAGGAGGCTGAGCAGATGAGGATGGAGGAGGGTATGGCTGTCCCGGCGGACCAGGCGGAGTTTGCGATGAAGCTCCAGCAGGCGGGCGCTGGGCAGCTGCAGCGCATATTAATTAGCTAGCATCCCACAACGCGTGGCCAGGGTTTTCGACGAAAGCTCACCTAATGCAGCGAGTATGCTTTGGATATCGTGGTGCGATTCGGCCATGGCGAATGACCGTACAGGAGTCCTGTGACGACGTCGCAAGGAGACGCAACGTGGAAGGGTGGAAGGCGATGATGGAGGAGGAGCGACAGCCAGAGAAGGGAGGATTGTCGTCGCAAAGGGGCGTCAGCGGCCAATGGAAACGCAAATATCCGCGGCCGTGCAGGCTGCGCTTCGTGAGTCAGGTACGAATACTGTCGCAAACGTTGGTATGGAGTAGAAGACGATGGAGTGGCTCCTCGAGGTTTTCCGAGGCCGGTAGTGGTTGGTGGCAGAGGGGGGTTTCTGAAGCCCTCACAACCTGCGTCCTCAGCGCCATGTACAGCTAAATTTTCGCAGGATGCCAGGGTCGGAAGAACTTGTCGCCGTGAGCGCAGCGCGGCGGGCGGCAGGCGGCAGGCGGCAAGCGGCAAGCGGCAAGCGGCAAGCACCGACATCAGAATGGCAGAATGGGGGGCAGCAGCCTGCCAGGTGATCACTGATGGGACAAACAATTCCGAGTGCCGTAACGGCTGTGGATCCCCTTGGGGCTTGGATCCCCTCCCCCTTCCTCCCCCTCTCTTTCGCTGCCTCCCTATGTCTGTCTGTCTCTCTTTCTCTTCTCTTGTCTGAAAGTCTTTTCCTGCCTACCCCGTCTCAAAAACAACGCAAGAACGGCAAAAGGGTCGAGTTTCGCAATGCAAACCACAAAGAAACACCGAGACAACTTTTAATTTAACGCACCGGCAAGGGACAGACAGTCGAAACATGGTCGTTCTCCATAATATAGGAGATCTATTGTGCACTAACAAGGCCATTTTGGTGGCGACATGCACAATCCCCACAGGAATCGATGGAGCGACTTAGTTCGGCCACCCGTCAACTTATGATTGCAGCCTGTTGATCGCCGCAAGTGCGGGTAGTGTTTGGTGGTTTTTGTCACGTCGACTAATGCCAACCCAGAAGCCGGGTGTGTCAGACACCGTCACAGCCCTTGTCAAAAAAAAAAAAAAAAAAAAAAAAAAAAAAAAAAAAAGGCCAAGAGCAAGGAGCCCGACTTTCCAGTATCCGGCATAAGAAGAGAGGCCTCTACTTTCTGCACTGCATGGCCATAATCAAACCATTGGGGTATCGGAAATGCCATGCCAGGCACGCCAACTCGTAAGAGTGGTCGAGGAGCGTGCAAGGGTTTGCACCATGCGACGACGAGAACAGGAGAACAGCTACTAGTTTTAGACAACCGGCGCACCACCACCTCCACCACACCATCCAACCGAGTACTCCGTACCCCGTGGCGTGTTGCCAGGTCTTGGTTCGTATTACTACTCCGTACATACGTAAGTACGGAGCATGTACCAGACATGACGCGGCCCAGCCAATGGACGGGGCAAAACGGCCAGGCTCCTGAGCCCCCGAGTGACCATGGGCAAACCGAGGGGACCAGAGCAGCCGGGGGGGGAAAAATACAATAGGAAAGACTCCCCGAGTTATCCGAATCCACTCCTAGATCCGAAAAGAGGCGTGAGCAAACTTACGTCAACAAACTTGGGTGCCGCCGCCAGCCACAAACGCCGTATTATCCGGATCATGTCCCTCGAGTCCTCCGAGCAAGACTCTTCTACATACATCTCGTGCTGCCGACGTGGGCGTATTTCAACTTGGCTATGTGAATACGCCAAACCAGCTCATAGTTCAACGATAGGAGCCATCACCACCTGAGTACCTGCTTCACATAGCGCTTTGTTGATTCCCTTCAACACGTGCGCGGCCCACCGGCACCGTCGAAAACGAGTACATCAGACCCAATCTCTGCGCCAATGTGTAGGCGAGTCATCGTCGAGTATCGGTGCAAGCACCAAGTGTATCGAGGAAGCACCAAATGCTTCCGAGAGCAGTGCCCAGGAAGGAAAGACGAAATCATGTATGACTCGGACGACTGTGCACAATGTGAAAGCCAAAGAGGCATTCGATCGGCTAGATGGTGTCCCGTGGGCTGCTGCTGCCGCTGCACCGTCATGTAAGAGGCTTCGGGAACCGACATATTGCCATTTACTTGGCACATTTACGAGAAATCGAAAGTCGAGGAATATTGAATTAAGCCTGGTTCATTTCCAGGAGCAGGGCTGTCAGTCAATGTTGCACTCGTTCCATCGTTGAGCCACACGATACGTCAATACATTGGAAACTAACCGTGGAGAACGACACAGAAGACAGAAATACACACAAGACCTTGCGGCAAAACAGGACCATGCCACCCAACACGTCCCCGGAAATCCTCGGGCTGCCGGCGTTGAGCTGCCGGCACCATTACCGGCACCTTTCAATACCACCCAGCCCATCACCCATATGTCAGGTAGATGGGGAGCTGAGTGCCCTCGCGACAAGTAACCTGACGCGAATCTCCTTGTCCCGAGCACCACCTTATGGGATCACATCCGGAAGGTCTCACATGGATGCATCCCTGGAATCCGCCACCAATCGGCTTGACCTGGTAATTGAACGTGTGTTCATCCCCGCTGGAATAGCTCACTTCCACCTGCTCGTTGATTTTCAGGTCTGCGCTGAACCCTCCCGGAAATGAAGCGCGGCTCCTCGGCCAAATACGCCGCGATGGCCCTCCCGGCACTTTGACCACATCGACCGCCTGATCCAGGTAGTTCGTTACAATGGCATCGCCGGCATCGGCTGGGTATACTCCCTCATCATCAAAGTAGTACGCCGGGGAGCCGAGGGAGAAGGCCACGAAGGCGGCAACGGAGAGCATGGAATACTTCATACTGGCGTTTTGTTCGAGTGGGGAGGAGGATATATATCTTCAGACTACAAGCAGAATAGACTTGTCTACAGAGAATGGTGGTTTCATGTTGTAAAGATTTGCTTCTATTTATATTTTCTCAAATCCAAGCACAAGCAAACACATGGGTACTAGATATTCAACATGTTTACATGTTGATTTATAATAACTTTCGAGTTACAACTACACATTGATGATAAAGTAAAATACATCTCTCATCCCCAAGTTTACAACGTGACGTACAATCTCCATTCCACTTTATTTTCCGTTTCAAAATTACTTTTCCAGTATGATCTAGAACACAATACAAGCCCAATCCTGGTGCCACCCCGGCCCGACTGTGTGCAACTGCAACACAAGCCTCACTTTCCCTGCTTCCAGTTCGCTCGTCACGGGCCCCTACGCCCGACACACGAGCCGGGTTGACATATCTGTTCCCAGACACGATGGACGGTGTAAGCGCCCATTCCGACATGCGAGCCAGCAGAGGCGTCGTGACTCCTTGAGCGCAGCCGCAGACAGACAGACTACCTAGTCGAGCGGGCAAGGTAAGGAGGGGATGTGAAAATCTCTGTATTCGACACATGTTGAGTCCATCTCCCCGTCTGCCACGTCTGCCCTGTCTCCGCAAACTCTCCCCTCAACGTAAGTCGCGACTCCCGCGAGCCACGCACAGCCTGTGACGAAGGCCATAGATATAGTACTACGCCAAAGCTTCCACAAACTTTCCTTTTCAACAAGAAAAATGACCATCTTGGTTTCGGGCCCAAACATCTCTCTCATGCGTATAGTCGGGGCTGCTGACTTGCAGATCGAAGCTTCAAGCCACCCTCCCCCGGAGTCCCCCCCTCTTTCGAGAAAGACCCGTAATCTTGTTGCCATATGCCGACTGACGGTGGTAGCTAAGCACACTTGATCCCGAAGACGTCAGCTCGTATTGTACACATGCGCGTGAGAAAAGCTGAAAAATAAACAAAGTGACTGGTCATGAATGGCGTGCTGAAGGCTCCTCTCGGTCGACGTGGATCGATTTGCGGGCGTCATCCTCACGGTCGAGTCTATTTCTCCTGTTGTGGCAATCGTACTCGAGTATGCCTGCCCGGGACGGATCTACAGAAAAGCCAAGAACGGGCGGCTTGAAGTGCGCGCGTCGTTGGGGGTGATATGAAGACTGCTGTTGGAGAATTGCCCGAGAGACATTGTACATCTTTGCAGCTTCTCAAAGCCTTGATTCCAGGACGCTGCTGACAGCTTGGAGGGCTAGCAATCATGGAAGTATTATCTGGTGTAGATATCATGGCGTTTGGAGATGTTAACTTGGACGTTCCAGTATCGGGTGCATGGTTGTAGCTTGAGCATCACCTGCTCGCTATGCGCCTGCAGTCGGTGTCATAATCGAACTGTTTTCGTACCTCAAAAGTAAATACAAATATACCGCGGTATATTATACTACAGGACGCGATGGTCTGGAACCTGCTCTGGTTGAATACCATTTGCCTCATCAGTACGTCACCGTAAGCCTCGACGTAAACAACAAAGTTATATGACAAAACGACATGCTTTTGGCGTGTCAGGATATAACTTCCTTGAAACTGTGTTACAAAGCCGCGCCCCCCCTCTTTCTTTCATCTCGAGCAAATGTTGTTGCCTGTATCGATAGCACCATGACTGGAGTATCTACTCTACCCCCAAGCTGGTGCTGAGCCTCTGCACTTCTTTACTCAGCAAGAATAGTGCAGCATGGAGATTATGGGAAGTTCCACAGTCGAGATGGATCGTATTGCAACATCAGGACAACAAGCCATCAGCCTTTCATGTCCGTTGGCCATGAGCATCTTTCAAAGTCCGAGAGGTACCGTCACGTCAGATTCGGCCAAAGCGAACATCGGTTACCTGGAATAGTACATCTCGTTGAGCCACCTTCGCATAAAGGAGTCGCCCCTTTGTCGAAAGGCCACTTTCTATGGACAATGATGGCGGGGAACTGGGCCACTACCGACACGAATCATCCGCCTGTTGTGAAGTGTGACGTTGGAGCAACATCTATTGGTCAGCTGCCCTCTGAGCATTATTGCCTCGCATACTCAAAAATCTCCTCTTGAGACGAGTCCCTCGTGTCCGTTTAGCCTGCCAGCTCTGGCTTCGTCCGGATCCTCGCCCTCGATCACCGGCTTGTCGTACGGCAGGAGTGTCTAGAAGGTTCCCGCCTAACTTAACATCTGACCGCTCGGGGGTATCCCGCCTGGTGGAGGAGTCCTCATCCTGGTGATCGTCAAAAAAGGCCGTCGATTTCGACAATGGATACTGCAGTCGATTGTTGTCACTGTACGTAATCGGCTTGTATAGTTTAAAGTGCCCCTCGGTGCGGACCCGTCGCGGACTGAGATCGAGCGAGGCAAGTTTTCAAAACATTCAGCCAATTTTTAAGCCCTTCATATGCGAGGCGACGCTCCTCGTGGCCGTGCTCCCACCTTTGGCCCGGTTACCCCAGCATAACAGGGGCAAAGACTAGACACTGACGGACAGTAGTACAGCAGTGTAAATGGTTCGAACTCGTCGAGACCTCTGGACCGGGCTCGCGTAATCGGTTCAAGAGTCTCTGCAAAGCCTCTCAATCACTTTTGAGGAACGAAATTATCTCGACCGTTGCCAGTAGCCCGCCAGCATTGCATTTGCAATGACTTCCTTCTCACCGTGCTTCCCTTTCTGTCTGATACAGCATCTCCGGTGCTAGGCTCGTCGACCTAACCCAGACAATAAAGTCACCGGCTTCTAGGCGGCTTGGTCTTCGTTCCAGAATATCTGAGGGCGGGACGAAACGCGTGGGTGAGTACGCAGTCAAGCACTGCGCGTATTTTGGTGACTTCGTCAGGCCGTGGTGGCCGTATCTGAGAAGGAGCAAATACATTTTTGTTCCAACTACTCTGTTCATGTACCTCATAAGCAAGCCGTTACATAGCCAGAGTCTGCGCCAACTTGCGAAATACGGAAATATTTCCTCGAGCGAATTGCATATCACCAATTTGACGCCCAATTTCCATCCGAAAACTCCTAGTAAAACCCTCCATGCCAAGATGAAACGTAAGTGGAAATATAGACTGAACGGATATCATAAGAAGGTCACTCTCTTGCCATGCGGGGCTGTGACCATCGTCGTCGGTGTCGTCCTTTATTGATGCAGTTGCCATGGGCCACGCAATTCGGCATTTTGAGATCCGTATGTCACTCTGCGACTCTTTCAACCTGGGACCACAGCCAGTCGGAAGAGTGCATGGTATGCCTGGCACGACTTGTCCAGCTCTCTTCACCTACGACGCCCATGTCTAGTTGTTGCAGCAACTCGGCGAGTCGAGGAGGGCGTTTTGACGGCGCCTCCTCGCCGGGGCCTAGAGAATAGCTGGGCATTGGACGTGAAAAAGCCGGCCACTCAGTCAGTATAGAGTTGGAGCAAGTCGTGGGTTGAAAAATCGTACCGTCGGTTTAATTAGTAAGCGCCGAGTCGTTCCATGTCCTGTTATTACTATTGGGTTTGGCAAGAGCCGTCTCATCTAATCTACATTGGAGGTCCTCGCCTGGCCCCCCCCCGCCGTTGCCCTTCCAGGACCCCAGGCTGCCAGGCTGCCAGGCTGCCAGCCAGCCAATTCCCCATCCCGAGTGCTACATAAACTTACCAGGCTTGTCCTTCATCTTCGGATCGGCTGCAGGCTCCGTCTCTCTGCTGCGTCCTCCGTACATCTACAACGGCATCATACCGCACTCGTTTTTTCCCTCGTACATTGACATCTCGCGCCGGCGGTTGCTGGCGTTTCATGTGTGCGCCATGGCCAAGAAGGCCCGCCAGAGAATCAGCTACGGTACGTGCCTGAGCATCACACACTTGACCTCGTCGTACCAGACCGTCAAGGTCCATCCATCCAGCCATCCATCCAGCCAGCCAGCCAGCCAGCCATTCAATCCATCCCAATAAATAAAAAATACTACCCATGACGTTTGTTTGCCGGGCAAGTGACGGGAGCTTGCCCCGCATCCGCACACGCAACACAATCACGCACACAACGCGCACAATCTTCTCTCCCTCGTCCGAGACATCTGATTGTGGCCCCCGCAGAGTACTACATGTTTGTTCAGTTGAGCGCTGACCGCTGACCGCAATCCTTTTGCCTCTTGCAGTTCTTGAGAGTGCCAAGTCGCCCGAGGGTGGCCATCGTCTGGGCGTCAATGGCCTTGCTGTCGATACCAACAATGGCATCCTGTAAGCTCCATCCATGCATGTCACACCACACAACCACTCTCGTGCCACTCCACAGACAAAGCTATAAAAAAAAATTTAAAAAAAAAAGAAAGAGGGAAAGAAGGAAAGAAAAAAAAGGAAAATTCTTCATTGTTTCACTGACGCAAGGCAAAAATTCACTCATTTCAGCTACTCTGGTGGACGAGATGGCATCGTCTGCGCGTGGGACCTCGACCTCGACCTCAAAGGATCCTCTTCCGACACCCGTGATTCCGCAGACAAACCTCGCTCTCGAAGCAAATTCCGCGCCCAGGCACAGCCTCACACCCATTGGATAAATGACATCACCCTGGCGCAAAGCAACACTGCCTTGGTCACAGCATCATCGGACCTTACCGTCAAGGTATGGCGACCGCACTCGGAAGAGGACAGCACGCGCACAGTCACCATTGGAGAGCACGCCGATTATGTGAAATGTGTTGCCACTCCTCCCGCCGCCATCAACGCCAACTGGGTTGCTACAGGTGGTTTGGACCGCAAGCTTTGTCTCTGGGACCTCAACGGAGCCGGAAAGACGCTCGAGGTTGACGTCAGGGGCGAGGAGAAACCCGAAAAGGGCTCCGTGTACGCCTTGGCCGTCGGCCGCGACATTATGGCCTGTGGAGGGCCTGAGAAGATGGTTCGACTCCACGATACTCGGACCGGTAAAAAGGTCTCCAAACTGGTTGGTCACTTGGACATGATTAGATCCATTCTGATCGACGACTCGGGTGACATTATCCTGAGTGCCAGCTCCGATAAGACAATCAAGATGTGGAGTGTCAAGGGCGGTCGTTGCATGTACACTTTCACGATGCACGACGAAAGCGTCTGGTCACTCTTCTCCGACGACCCAAGTCTTGGCATTTTCTACAGCAGTGATCGAGCTGGCCTGGTGGCCAAGACTGACGTTCGAGGCACCGTGGAGGATCTGGACAACGGGCTGAGTCTGGCGATTGCAGAGGAGCACTGTGGCGTGTGCAAGGTTGTCGCTGCCGCCGGCCACATCTGGACTGCCACAAACCGGTCTTCAATCAATCGTTGGGGAGATGTAGATACCAACACTGACACCTGCCTCCCGGAGCCATTCCGTCGCCAGAGGACTGTGTCAGCCGGACCCGACAGGCTCCGGCAAGCCTTGCCAACGAATGCGCAACAGATAAGCAACCAGGAAATCCCCTCGGAATCTATTCTCCGTATGTCCAACACTGCCGTATTCCCCGCCCGCGGCGTTTTCGATAGCGAGTCAAACAAGTTGAGTGAGACTTTGACCAGGCGTGGGTCAGAAGTCGTGGTTGAACAGGTAGATCCGGAGGTGAAGCCAATCCATCAAACACCAGAAGAGACCATCCAAGGCCAGTTTGGGCTTTTGAAACACAAGATGCTCAATGATAGGAGAAGGGTGTTGACATTGGACACTGCCGGCGATGTCCTGCTTTGGGATCTCCTTGCTGTAAGTCTTGCATCGTCGAGCTGATGCCTTGATTCACCATGTATGCTAACAGTCTGCTTGTAGTGCAAGCCAGTCCAGAGCTTCGGCAAACAGAATCTAGAAGATGTCGAGGTCGTGGTCAATACCCGTGAAGCCGTCGCACCGTGGTGCTCAGTGGATTTGAGCTCTGGCAATCTTACGGTGGTGTTGGAGCCCTTTAACTGCTTTGATGCCGAGATGTACGCCGACGAGTTGAAATTGGATGAGCCGATAGATTTCAAAGAAGACCAGAGAAGTATGAGGATCATTTACCAGCATTTCGTGTCCTCTCCTGGAGCTGACACCTTCTACAGTCAGCCTTGGAAGGTGGATTTTGAGATATCTCTTCTCGAACCTGATTGACGAAGAAATCAAGCGTGACGAAGGCTACCGGCAGAAATTGAACGAAGAGGTCTCCAGAAACCAAGCTGCCGGTCGAGCCAATGCGCCCACGTCGATTGACATTCCCCCGTCGAATATTTCCAACTGGCACAGGCCCGATCAACTCACCACCCCGCGAGCTAATGGCTCACAACTACACCAAGCCACTCCTGGCTTGGGAATTGGTCTCGCAACTCCTGCGCCCGGGGCTACACTTCCGGGCGTACCTGAAGAGGCGGTATGCAGCCCTTTAAGCCCAGCCGAAAGGGGAGCTGCCGCAGACAGGGACGATTATTTCACTGGCGGCAGCACTGTTGTTGTGCCTGGTGCTCCAGCTACAGAATCGTCCGAAGCGAAAAATTTAATGGATAATGGTAATGAGAAAGGCAAGGATAAGGCGAGCGATGTCGCCAAATCACCTGGGAGCACTTTTGGCAAGAAGCTCCGAATGTCCTTCAGCAGCAAGAAATTGGGGCGTTCATCTTCCCAGGCGACGCAGGACAAGCCCGTGGTGGTTGACGAAAAGGCGGAAGAGTCAGAATCGTCGTCCACAGATGAAAAGGAAGTGGACGATAGCTTTCTTGGGGTCATACAGAAAATTCGCAACGATTACGATAAGCAGCTTGCAGACACTCCGGAGAAGTTCATCGAGACCAGAGTGATGCCGAGTCTTCCCAACGAGACCCCTGTGCTGAAGCTCCCGCCGGGCACCAAGATCATCATTCAGGAAGAGACGTCTGGTGGTAGTGCCAATGTTTACCAAGGTACAGTCGAGAATGTTGGCAGGGACGCTGACATTATTGAACAAAGGGCCCCGATGTGGCTCGGGGACGTGTTGCTGCAAAATATCGTCCCATTCAAGGAGCCTGTCAAGATTTCATTTGTTCTTCATCCAATAGGCGACTTGATGGCTCTGTCCCCAGCAGATGGAAATAACAGATTAAACGCCAACAGAATGTTGCGCGTCAAGAAGATACTAGCTTACGTTGCTGAGAGGATTGAGGAAGTATCTGAGGAACCCGATGCCAACTCTCTGTCCCCTGAAGAATATCTGGAATTGTATTGTAATGATCAGGTATGTTCATTCGTCCCGCTCACACTGGAAAGGAGTGTTTTTTGCGTCTAATTAGGCCTGCTTATAGCTCCTTGACCCGTTGATGAGCCTTGCAACAATCCGTGCCCATGTGTGGAAGAGCGGTAATGACGTCGTCTTGTATTACAAGGCCAACGGACGCAAGGAGATTATACCACCCAAGTCCACATCATCTATGATCCCTGCAGATACTCCAGGAGCCCCAGGTCCTGTGGGTGCACCAGGAGCGTCCTCTGAATCGACTACTTCTACAGCGACAGCAGTAGCATAAAGGAGTGGCCCGTCTCGGCCGAGATAGAGTGAAAGGCACCTGCTCCTTTTTGAGAGGGCATTGAGCGTAAAAGAATTGACAACGTGTACAGCACGTTTTTCTCTTAACTTTTTCCTCGAATGGACCATACACCTGGAACACCTCCCGCGTTATTGTCAACCACACCCCGACGTTTATGTGTTAACGGCAATGGCAAATACCCCCAGCGCTATACCGTACTTTGTCTTTCATGCTTTATGTTGGGACTTTTATCATACAAAGGCTGGCCCAGCTGGCAGGGCTCCACAGCTGCCAACGCAGATTCGACCAGCAGTCAGAAAAAAAACCCAATCCATCTATATGCATTTCATCATTCCCGCTTGTCACGTATTGTACAACTTGACCCCAGCGTGTTGTGAAGAAACAGCCCTGCCCCAGTTGAGCAAAGCAACGAGCCAAAAGGGGGAGAGTAGATGGCTAAATGGATGTCATAGTATTGATGGCCCATTGGTAGCTTCCCAGGAATATGGCACCTCCGAGAGAAATCCAGGTGACTCTAGGCGCAATGCCGGCAAAGAAGGGACGAAGGCCCTCGTCCTTGACCATGGTGCCAAATACTTGTGCCACGGAAACCCTGTCCTTGGACAACATGACCCTCGTCTTCAAGACATCCAGGGGCGTCGTGGCGGCGGCCGAGACGGCTCCGGCCACACTGCCAAAGAGGGCACTCTCGGGCGCGGGGACATGGCGGCCGGCCTTGTCGCCGCCCCCCTTGCGCTTCCTCCGCCACGACTTCATGGCCTCCCAGAGCGGGAACTGTATGACGGTGAAGGGCACCTCCCTGAAGACGGTGATGCCCCAGCCCCGGTACAGCTCCCTCCAGACGGCGCCGAGACCGTGCGTCGAGCGCCGGGACAGGATGGCACCCAGGGCGGCCCTCGACGAGCCACCGTGCATGCCCGCCTGGGCGCGCTGCTTGACCACCTCGGTCGGCACGCGGACCGCGCACGCGGCCACCTCGCCCAGGCTCGCGGCCGCCATGGACGCGGCGGCCTCGGGCACCCGGTTCCCGTGAGGCCCCAGAAGGAGCCCCCTGGTCGTCTCGTACGTGCAGAAGAAGAAGGCCGCGCCGGGGGCGGAGCCCACCAGCGCCGAGCCGATGCCGCGGTATATTCCCGAGAAGCCGCCCGAGGGGAAGAAGCCGGCCGACGACTGGAGTCGGGTCTTGAGCGTGTCGAGCGGGAAGAGCGAGAGGTCGACCGTCGTGCCGGCGAGGGCGCCTGCCAGGAGGGCGGACTGGAAGGGAGGCGTGGGCGTGGTGGACATTTTCCCCGCTGGCTGCGCGCGCAAGGGTTGGATTCGTCCTCGTCGTCGCCGATTGATGAGCGGCGGACGAGGTCGAGGTCGAGGTCGAGGTCGAGCTCAAGCTCGAGGTTGGGGTTCTTTATCGATAGCAGGCTGCGCACTTTTCTCACCGGCCTTGCGAGGCGGTGCTCGGCTACCCTGGACCGCCGGTGCTTGCGACTGATTCGGTACTTAGTAACTAATTGACTGACTGACGGCGTCTCGACTACATACAGAACAGAACAGAAATTACGCAGTCCAAACCACGCGCCCGCCTACGCGCCGTCCCGCCCGCCCGTCCCCCGCCTCGACCTCTCCTCGGCAGACCTCTTCGCCTGCTCCTGCAGCTTCGCGATGCCCCCCGGCGGCGCGGGCTCCCGGTCCGCCCGGACGGCCTCCTCGCTGTCCGACGCCAGCTCCGGCTTCCACTCCCCGGCGCCCGCCTTCTGCCTCGCCAGCGAGTCCCGCTTGTGCTTTTCGTAGTCGACGTCCGTCTCTGCACGGCCCCAACCCCGTCTGTTGTGTCAGCCTCGTCTCTCTTTCTCTCTCCCGGGCTCTCCCGGGCTCCGGGTCGGGTGGGTGCGCGGCGTACGGCAAAACGACTCCTTCAAGCCGGGCCGGGCGCTCGTCGTGCCGAGCCCGCGCCTGCACCCGGCGACGGCCCTCCTCCTCGCACCCGCTCCCAGGCCGGCCGCGAGATGCGCCCGCATCCCGGTCGAGCACTGTCGGATGGCGCCCATTCTTGCCGAGCCACTTGCTGCTGCTGCTGCTGCTGCTGCCGCCGCCGCCGCTCCAAGCTTGGTGTGGGTTGTGTGGGATGTTTCCGCCGAGGCGACCTGTGACCTTTGGCACTGATCTCTCCTGGTCCGTCCGGTACGTGCGAAGCAGTCGAGTTTGAATTAAAAACAAAATCAAAAAATAGAGGCTCTGGGCAAGGTTACGTAAAAGGAGATTGAGAAGTTTTGAAAAAGAAACTGCTCGCTGCCACTGGACAATGTCCCACGGCTGTATTGGTAGTTATACTTTCGCTCCGAGCTTTGGATGTGGGGAGACTAGACTTACTGACGTCACCATTGCGATTGCACTCACACAGACCGTCGTCACCTAACCCGAGTCACTTCAACATCAATCACCCTGTGCCCATCACAGCAACTATTCAATTCCCACATTTCTTAAACATATCGTATATTCTCATCGCAACAGGCCATGCAGGCCGCGGTATCGCAACCTCGGTAATTGTAACATCAGACCACCGCATCCCGGAAAACATGCTCGCAACAACCAGCTCAAGTATCAGATCCCAGCAAACTTGCAACACCAGGGCACCATGACCCGAGAAATCCCAAATGATACGACCCGCAAAACCACGTCATGTCATAGCCGAGCCCACCCCGAAAAATCAACACCCATATGCTTCGCAAAATCACAACAATTGCCCAACCCAGTTAACGCAAAAGCTGGCTCCAATATGCCAAATGGAGACGCTTCCTCTTCAAAAGCCCGGCCGTCTTGGATCCGATCCCAACGCGTCGTACAGTAAACAGAAATGACAAGCGAGCCTCTTTCGTCTTGCAATCGCACCTCCGCCATCTTTCCAACAAACCTGCATGGCTGACAAGCAAACCAAGAAGAAAAGACAAGAAAATGACACAAGGAACCAACTCCCCGTCAGTGAAATCCAGAAGAGCCCGATTCCCAGATGAACAATGGCAATGCGCGCAAAAGACATGCAAGACACCGCTAAGTCTTTGCCAACCACTACTCGCTGCTGAAACCAATACCCATATGTGACTTTCAACCGAAAACACGAGCCGTTTACCCCAACGCTTTCGTTGTACAGAAAGCCCCTTTCTATATGTTCTTTTGATAATTTTCCCTTGATGAATTTCGTGGCCCATGACTGTAATAGCTGGGCAAATAAAACAACTTTCGGTAGAAGAGAAGAGTTCGTCATCGCACACGCTCCAATACATAAACGGATGTAAATATGCCGGAAAGAAGTCGTCGGTTTTTCTTCTTCAAGAAAACAATTGTCAACTCCACTGTCGATCACCACGCAGCGGAATTCCTATTCGAATATTTGAAAATGCAAAAACGCTCGATTGGTGCGGCTTGGCCTCATCTTGCGAGGCGGACACCCCAGAAATGAAAGACAAAAGGTCGAAAGGTATCGCTTTGTGAAACGGAGCCGAATTCGAGTCCCTGGCGGACGATGTGTCGATGGTAAGATGATGATTAACGTCGATAAACTAAGCTCTTGTACAGATTGTAGAGGTGTGAGGCTGCGAGAGACCCAGCAATCGAGCCAGGCCAGTAAGTACACCCCCGAGAAACCCACCCTGAGGGAGAGAAACGGTACCGTCCGCGTTCAGCATTTTTTTTTCTTTGTTTTCGTTGGTGCGCCCGCCAAGAAGACAGTGCATGGAGGACGGCAGTAGAGCCACGAGCCAGGCAACGCATCCATCAAGCATCGCGTGACACGAACGCGAAAAATGACTCTACCACCGCCGACCGTGGGACTGCTGCATCGTGGCAGGCGAAACCGACGGGGGTGGACTGGACATGGTAATACCAGTGGCTGGGTTGATGATGGGGATGGCGTTGCGGCCGCGGGTGGCCGACGGCTGGTGAAGTTTGATGTTCGAATGCTGAGTTTGAAAGCTAGGAGGGATGAAAGCGGTAGATGTCGAGTTCAGGGAAAAGCCAGGCGCAACGGTCTGAGGCTGTTGCGTCGGCGAAGATTCAGGAGAGTTGCTGGCCAGGGACGATCTTTCGGATGCACTCGAAATGGAAACCAACTGTCAAGGCAAGGGAGAGTCAGACTCTGTACGAACACCGCCAACTCGAGAAAAGCCGCTTGCGCTCTGGAAATCAGGGCCAAGCTACTCTTGCCGTCACTACTTACATCAGTCTCGGTCAGGAGGTTCGGGCAAAACTCCAAATCGTCCTCAAGCTCGAAGGAGCGGCCAGCTTCGAACTTCATGCGAAAGGCCGAAAGCGCAGCGGATTCGTTCAGGTCTTTCATGTTGCGCGCGCCCCGGAATTGCCTCTGAGCATTTTGTGAAACGGACAGTCGAGGAGCTCTGCGATTGCGGTGGCCGCCGTGGTTGTGCGACAATGGCGCACCGTGAGCCGCCTGCGTATTATAGTGGTAGTAGGAAGCCATCATGTATTATTCTCTGTGTGACAAAGGGCAAGTCGTCGCTGTCTATGAGGGTGAGTGCCTCCAACCCCAATGTGTTGCGTTTGATTGGGGGCGCTGCAGCTCAAGTTGTATGCACGTTGACTTGCCGAGGGTGCGGGAAGCTGACAGGAATTGCCGGGCGGTTAAGGTCGAGCAACTACAGATGGACGGTACGAGGCTGTCAGAACGTCGTATGTGAAAAGTTCTAGAGAGGTCTAAAAAAGGCGGCGGCGTGAAGAATGTAATGAACAAAGAAGATGGGGAGAGTGGGAAAAGGTAGGAAGAATTGAGATGAAAGGGTCGAATGTGAGCGTTGTGGGTGTGTTTTGGGTGATGAAGAGGGAGGGAATGGGATGTGGGCAGATGGCGAGGTACAGACACGTTAGACTGCACCCGGATTCAGGCGTATTTGGTGGGCGGTTGAAGGGAAGGAAGGCGGGTGGGTGGAGGGCAGAGCAGGTGCAGACCGCAGACGCAGGCTGCTGGCAGCAGGTGCAGGTCGGAAGCGGGCCCAGCGGGCGGGCAGGAGCGCCTCCAAAGACGGTATTTCGTTGGTTGGAGAGGAGAAAATATTGGGGAAGCATGGGGCCCAATGAGCCTGTGTTGACGAAGGCGGCGAATAGGAGCACGAGGGAAGCTTGTGGATGCCGGCTCCACATAACTTTGCCACTACAATAGGGAAGCCCGTGATGATTGGGCAGGCTGACAGGACCGCTAGACTTGATTCGGCCTGGAGAAGCGCCAGTGCTGTCGTTACGGGCGGGGGTTCGTCCGTTGGGCCGGCCAGGCGTACAGTGTCTGACATGCTTGTCGCACGCGGGGCCCACAGAACCCTTGGCCGTGCTGGTTTTTGTGTGGCCGAGTTGGGAGAGCGACGCTGGCGATCCATTGGGGCCTGTGCTGCGTCCGGTGCTGGGGCTGACTGACCGGGCCCGGGCTGCAAAGCTGCATGCCTTCAGGGTTCTTCATGCCTCGGGGCATTTTGGCACCAGGCCAGACTTCCTAGAATGACACTTTGCATTGCACGGGAGCGATCAATTTATCTCGGGACGGCGTCGAGCTCGCTTCGCTTCCCGCCCACCGCCGGGTGCTTGTGCTTGACTAACCGCCTAGACGTCCTCGCGCACCTCAACTTCCCTGCCTCGACGTCCCCTTGCTTCCTGTTATCCGACCGCGCTTCAGGTGCCGGTATCTGCCGGGGTGTGGTAAGTCGAGGTCGAGCGGCGGCGCCAGACAAGTGTGACTTGAGCCACGGTGGCGGGAAGCAGCCCAGAGCGGGTACCAAGCCATGTGTGTGACGAGGCACAGCTGAAGGCGCACCCCGAGGTAGCTTTGCACTGCCTGGCGCCAGTGGTGCCTGTTTACTTAAGTAGGTGGACGCTACCGCCATCTGCCGCCTGGTCGGTCCAGTCTGGGCTGGTCTGATTCAAGACGGCGAGGTGGCCCGCTATCATCACCCCGGCATGGAACCATTTTGAGCACATGTGCACCTGATGAGCACACCAGACCGTGGCCAATACTCCGTCGTGCAGGATACCATGGACTAGCAGTGAGCACTCGGTACTCCGTCCGACGGCGGCTCTCCCGCGGCCGCCCATGCCGCCGTGGCGCCTCTTTGTGTTGGTAAGAAACATTTCGACGTTGAAAATGTCAACAACATTGGAGGTCCCGCAGAATGAACCCTGGGTACTGCGGTACTACGGTACCTGGGTGGGTGGCACTTGGAGGCGACTTCCCCAGGCTGCACGCCAGTGTGACGGTGTCTGGTACAACAGAGTACTGCCTTAGGTACCTGGGTACCCAGCACTAGCTTAATCTTATATTCTTGTGACGCACCACGGCGAGATTTGGCTTTGATCAACCCTCATTCCATCATTCCAGCACCGAGGTTCCCCATTTACTCGGTCTCCGTGCCGTGACTGGCATTGGAAGTATGGGGGTGCTGGGGCGCCTGAGACCGGCCATGTCTCGTCATGTTGGGACGGATTCCACGGCGTCTGTTTGATAATACGTACTAATTAATACTGCTGCGAGACTATTATGAATATATGAGCAGTATACTCCGGATTGCCTCGGTGTAACAATAACAAAGCAATCCAGTAAGTCCGAGGCGCCTGGGGACGACGAGCAGCGCGTACTCCGTACTTCAGTCATCATCGTCCCGCCTCGATTTTTCGGCATTGTTTAGGCTCTACGGCGTACCGGCAGCTGTGATTCCTTCCTGGCACTCCCCGTATCAAACGATGGAGCCGGTCGTGAACGACTCGAGGTCACGCAACCAGACGCGGCAAACACCAACTTGGCCAGACATAAGTTATGGAGAGAATGCAGATGACCCGACTATTGCTCGCCTACCTCAGCTGACCTGACCATTGTAGTTGACCTGACCTGACTATTGCTATGGGGCGCCTACTACTTTCTAATTGGCTAGAAGTTAAATTGCACCTATAGGGACTACTATTAGTAATTAAGAAATACATACAGAAGGCAGGGTTTTTTCCCCTATTAATACCTAGCAAGATTCCCTCCTAAATGCATTATAAATTTAACTAGAATTAAATCTTAATTTAATTTAATTTAGTCCTCTAACCTTACTATACTCTTCTTTCTCTATTAACTATTATAATAGATATTCTAGTTAGCTTGCCTAGAACTAAGAATATTAATAATAATTATAAACTCCTAGATCTACCTACTATTTATAATAAATTTATCTTTAATAGTAGAGATATTAATTCTATACTTTTGTAGAATATTTAAGCACTAAAAGATATTCTAGCTTCTAAGTATATACTATTTAATAAAGTAAGTTAAAATAATAAATATATTTTAATTATTATACTAACCTTTTTTATATAAGTTAAATATCTAGAAGCACCTTTATTACTATTAGTAAATCTCTTATTAAATAACTAAATTTAAATTCTAACTAATATATTAAGCATTTATTAAGTCTTCTCTGCTGCTTTTATTTCTAAAATGCTATAAACTTTAATAAATAGTATTAAATATATTATTTTAATAGAAGCATTAAAGAAAGAAGATATTAAATAGCCTTAGAAAAGCATTTAATATAGTATTAAAAGAAGCTTTCCTGCTAAGGCAATAACTTTAGCAGCATTAAAGAGTGTTCTAGTATTTTAATATACTTTTAAGTATACTAGTAGAAAAGCATGCTAATATCTTACTCTAGATTTATAGAATTATTATTATATAGTTATTATATTTAAGCTACTTAATACACTAAGTTTTATAAGAGAGCAGATTTTAAGTATTACTACTAAGAAACATTACTTTATATTCTTTATAATACTAATATTAATTATTTAATAGTTAGGTATATATAATTTAAAATTAATTTACTTAAAAAACCTCTTATAAACTATTTTAAAATAATTATTAACTAATAGCAGAAGAGTTATACTATAGATATATTACTTAACTTTAGTAAATCTATATATACTATATTAATTAATAATTATATATAGTTAATTAATATAATAACTACTTTTATAGTATAGTAAATCTAGAATTTATTAATTACTATAATTAAATTTATAGTATTATTAATAGTAATAATACTTTAAGATATAGTAAAAAGTATTCTTTTTTTATAAATAATTTTTAAAGGAAAACAATATATAGTAAGTTATAACTACTATTACTTTAGTATTTAATAAGTAAACTAAAATATTACTAAATTATAATTACTTAAATTAAACAGTAAAATTAGTTTCTCTTTACTATAAAGTTATTTTTAACTTTATTATTTCTATATTAACTAAAACTATGCCTTAAATTATAATATCTTTATATAAAGAGCATAAATACTTACTGCTACTTCTATTTAAAGTGCTACCTTCTATACTATAAGGCATTATAAAAGTTATTAAAAGAATAAGTAAAATTTATATAAGTCTTAGTAAGTTATTAAGCTTAATTTAGAATTAATTTAAAGTGAATTCTTAGCTAATATATAATAGATATATTTTTAAAATTAAAGAAGCTTATTAAATTTATTAAAGAATATAAGGGGAAATACTTATTAAATATATATAAAAGCCTAGCTAATACTAATTATCTTTAAGCTATTATTTAGAAGAAATAAATAATACTTTTCTCTTTAAGCTTATTAAGAATTACTATTTTTTATAAATAACTAAAGAAGAAAAGAGAAAGCTATTAAGTAAGTATTTATTCTTAGATCTATATAAAATATATACTAATAAATTAGTAGATTTAATACTTTATTAATAATAGTATATATTAAATAGTAATTTACTTTTATAACTATTAAGTTACTTAATAGCAATAAATAAGTATAAATTACTTTTTATTAAATGCTAATTATAAGTAATTATAAAATTCTTAGAAATATAAAATTATTTAGGCTTAGTTTAGTTTAATATTAGAAAAAGGTATAATCTTTAATTACTTATATATTAATTTATATTACTAATGTAATTATATATTAGTAATTCTATTAATAAAAGTATTTACAAATAGTAAATTAGTTAATATATATTATTATATATTTTCTACTATTTTTAAGCTCTTTAAGAAAAAGTTTAATATTTTAATATAATAGAAATACCTTTAATACTAATAAGCTAACTATAATAAAAGTATATTAAGCTTTATTAGCATAATAATTAATTAAGATTAGCAATATATATAAGGTAAGTTATAATATATATATATTACTATAATATTAGTATATACTTATAAAGTTAAGTCTAGAGCTATATTTAAAGAAAGATATTAATTTATTACACTAAGACTAGAAATAGTAAGCGTAAAATTATATTTGCTTTTATTATATACACTTTAAAAGAGGCATAGAAAAGTATTACTTATATAATAATAATAAGCTTAATAGCAAGTAAGAATAGCTTTTAACTTTAATAAAAGCTACTTCTTTATCTTAATATAATTAATTATATAATTTAATTAAAGGTTTATAGAATTAATTCTAAATGCAT